GACTTTAACATCAAGGTTCGAACTCGACCTTGGCAAGTCGTCATGGTTAATGTGCCAATACCGAAAATGTATGGGAATGGAGTTGCTTTGTTCATTTATTTCTGAGGTGTGCCTCGTTAAAACCTTCCTTGGCCAAAAACCCTTTTCTTTAGTGGGAAAAAAGGCTGAGGAGGAAAAAGAGTACATCACCTGAATTTACAAGTTAAGAGAAATAAAATTTGAGGTGGGTGAAATTCCAAGTTCCAAATTTTCCTTTGGAGGGGTCTGTTCTTGCTTCTCCCCGTAATCGCCAAACAAGGTCGCCAACTTTAAATGTTCGTGGCCTGACCTTGGTCTTGCTTTCCTTGTGGTTTGTCGCGAATTGCCTTGCGGAGCTTGGCATGCTCCTCCATCTAGATATACCCAGCAGCGCGAGCTCGGAGCTCGTCCATGTCGGGAGGAGGTCGTTGGCAAAGGCTGTCGACGAAAGGTCCTGGCTTCAACGCCATGAGCATGGAGTGCAGTGCGACCTCGGGGTTTAAGTTGCGGATTTTGACGGAGACGCCAGTGAAGCGCTCCATGAATGTCCTTAATGGTTCTTCGTCGCCCTGTTTGAGGCTGGCCAAGGCGGCAGATGTGATGTGATGAGGTCGGCTCGTTGCGTATTGCACCGTGAATCGCCTCACCAGAGTGTCGAAGCTATCGACTGATCCCATTAGCAATTGGGTATACCATGCGAGTGTCGATCCCTTGAGCGGGGTTGGAAAAACCCTACACAGAATAGCATCTTCATTAGTGTATAGGTTTACCTGTGTGACGTATAAGTCAATGTGTTCATCTGGATCCGTCGTGCCGTCATAGCGGTCGATGTGGAGGGGCTTCCAGCCGAAAGACAGAGGTGTCTCCATGATGCCGTCCACAAAGGGATGGCGGCGAATGCTCGTCCGATTTCTAGGAGCTTGAGCCGGAGCGTTGCTGACTTCATGGGCCGACCTGTTCGTTGGCGCGTGAGACCGATGTGTGGCAGGTCGGGGAGTCGGTGCCCTAGGCGCGGTTGGGGGTTGAGAGACCGAGTGCCCCTCCTCTTCGTGTTGATTACTCGGTTGAGGGGGCTGATCAGAAAGGCACCGAGGAAGCTGGGCGCGGATTCGCTCGTTCTCGGCGCGTAACGCCGCTAGGTCAGCCTCATTGGCGGTCTGCATTGCGGCTAGGTCGGTTTCGTGCTTGGCATGCATGTTTTGTAGATCGGCATCGTGTTGTTGCCGGATCTGTTCGACTTGTTCGATCAGCCTTCTCAATGTCGCTTCGTTGTCCATGCTTGTCGTGCGATCTGGGTCATCTGTTGCGCGTCTACTATGGCTTCGGGTGAATACCATAAGCGTGGCTGATAAGAGCTGTCTTGATCGGCCCCACGATGGGCGCCAAATGTTCTTACCGGGAATCCGAGGTAGGGATGATCCGCTGGGTAAGATCAGTGAGCCTCCTTCGCTGGTACGCTTGTTGCTCCAAGATGGGGGTGGTACCTGCAAAAGAGACTTCGATGCCAAAGTTAATTTTTGTGGGAGTATGAGTCTCGTATAAGTAACGCACGTACCTTGGTGTGAATTAGGGTTTCATTGAGCCTTGGACCCGAGATCAGTTTATGACCTAATTGAATAGCGAGCCGATGTCGCCTAGCGCGTGTCCGAGGTCACTCCGCACTGTGATGCCGAGCTCGAGCTCTGCATAGCAATACAGATAGTACATTGACCAACGCATTGATACAAAATCATTTTAAATCCATTTAAAATTTTGCATAACCCATGTGTAAACAAACTTAAAAAAAAATTAAATTGGTTAAATATTTGCAATATTTTTTTAATCTATATCATAATATCTTATTTTCAATATTTAAATCATGATAAATTCACTACTAGAAGATAGTTAATTAAATGTATGTTTGTTTTAATAACTTAAGCATTCTTAATGGAGAAACATGTGAAGAGATGCATTCAAATTAACGGACTGAAATCCAACGCTTAGATATAAATTATGGTTAAATCCTTTAAAAATTTTGCATATAATTCTGGTAGTTTTTCTAGGCTAACCCTGAAATTTGTAAAATTACAACAATGATCCCTCCGGATTTTTTTTACTGGAACACTGATATGTCTTAAACATTACACTTACTCTTTGATTATTTTAAAAATATTAACTATATTCCTTATAATAAAAAAATAGTGTAAACATTAAAAAAAAAAAAAAACGGTACAGAATATCAACATTAATATAATTGCCTCCAATTGTGATTATCAAAACGAAATCTCAACCTAAAAGACTACAAAAGCAACCCCATCCCAAAGAAGAAGTCATAAAATAACAGTAGTACCTACGATAAGGTGAAAGCGGAGTGGACCACCACAGGCCACAAAAATATAAATTAGAGACAAATTGCGGTTTGTCAAGAATCTCTAATGATATCTAAAGGACCTACCCCTCTAGGGCTATCTTGGAGCCGTTATTAATCAACCTATTTGCTTAAATTCCAAGAAAGAGAAAACACTTCCAAACAATTTCCACAAAAACAGATCGTGCAAAGAAAAACTATGCATAACACTTGTCGTACTATCCAATCAAAATGAACGCAAGTTGGGCAAATAGAAGTGATCAAGTTGTGGGAATGATCGTGTCAAGAACTATTACATCAAATACTCGTCGTATGCTACAATGCCAATAAAAAGCAATGAAAGTTGAGTAAAAAATAGAAACATTGCACCTTATCACTTGTTCTATAGCAGCATGATATTGATATCAAATAATGGCGATGTGCAAAGAGCTAGTATTACATAAAATGGTCATCCTCTAACTTGCCAACCAAAAGAAGATAAATTGTGCAAATAATAATTTGAAAACATTGCACCTCATCACTTATTCTACCAACATGATGTCAAATTATGGCGATCCGGTCAAAATCATTCACCAATGTAAGTTCCTCCTTAGTGGGTTCGTATGCAACCTATAGGAGGAACATACATTCATGAAACTGACATCATCAACATTATAAACCACAGTAAAAAGGTTACCCCAAATTCAAATTCCCCAATGTCCAAATTCTCAAATGAAATAATCATCATATCATCGGTTTGTTTGATTCCTCCTTCACAATGTCACACTTGGGAACTTACAAGATCCATAACCTACAAAAATTCAAAACATGGAATAAATCCACCAAAACCAATTAGTTAGCTTTAATAATTACAATTTAATTCAAAGTTACAAACCAATTTTTTATTTTTATTTTTTTAAAAACTTACTTGGATCCTTTGCTGTTTGCGTAGCGAGTCCATTGAAGTAACAAGTTGCGCCACCCTTCCTTAACTGCGCCCAATACGAACTAAACGCATAGCTCGCATGCCAGAAGAGCGAATCGGGTTTAAAACACTTCCCACCATCTTGGATCGGGTCGCACGTGCCATTTCCCTGAGAGCACGCGTACGAGAGCGCCGCCGCCAGCGCGGTGGCGTTACCCCGCCGCGCCGCCACGCACCAAATCCTCCCCTTAAACTTCTCATTATTCTCCGGCGCCGGAAGCCGCCGGAACTCCGACTCCGGCGTCGCCCCGGACAGATCAATATCATAAACCCTCGACCCGTTCGGGTGCAACAACCCGAAGTGCCGCTCCGTGCCCGGACCCGGTTTCACGTTCTCATTAAACAAAGCGAACAAAAAAGACGGAAGAAGAAAACCCGGTCGAGCCGGGGTCCCCACAAACGGTTTCGTCATAACCCTTTTCACGAAGTTCCGATTGTAAGTGGCAGCGTTGTAAATATTCGCTCCAATCTGGTCAAGGTCTCCCCCATTGGGCCAACCCGTTTCCGCAATGAAGATCCGAACACCCGGAAACCCGAGCCTCTCCATGGCGAAATAAACCGCGTCAACCATTTGGTCAAAGAGGTTAGTGTAAACCAAACCCGAACCCGGATCCGTGACCGTGATGTTTTTATTTTTAGATCGGAACAAAGCGTAGTCGAGGTTTATATTAACCGGGTCGGAGGCCCAAGCGAAGAAAGGGTAAACGTCGACGAAGAAAAACGATTTGGTCCGGTTGAGAAACTCCAACATGGGCCTCATGACGGGGCCCGCTATGTCTTGACGAAACGCAGCGTTTGAGGGGGGGAAGGAGGTTTGGAGGACGTCCATAGCGGAGGGGGTTCCGACCTTGATTCTGCGGAGGCCGAAGGCTTTGAGGGAGCGTCGGAGGCGGCGCATGGCGGGGACGAGGCGGAGCCACGTGCGGTTGGGGGTGGAGGAGATGATTTCGTTGCCGACGAGGAGGTAGCGGATGCGGGTGCGGGGGTGGAAGGGTACCACGTTGTCGGAGACCCACTTGTCGGAGAGGGTTTGGTTGGAGGAGATGTTGACGATGAGTTCGTTCGGGACCATGACCGAGACTTGGAGGCGCGTGTCGCCGAGCGCGTGGAGGATCGTTGGGTTCGCGTCGTAGAGCTTCACGCGCTTCGCGTGGAGGGAGGTTAGGAGTGAGACTGAGTCTCGCGGCGGTGGAAGGTTGTCGCCGAGTTGCCCGTAGCAGATTCCGGGTTGGAGTGAGAACGCTGCGCCTGTGGAACAAAATGGTGTTAAAAAACAAAAACAAAAAAATCACTTTTTTTTTATTCGTAAACGAGAAAATATCACTTACTTGATACACTGAATAATGCCATGGACATGGACAAAACTAACAGTGGAATGGGCATTTTGATTTGGCTGTTTATTGAGGAAAAATGTGTTTTTTTTCTTCTGGGTGAGTTGAAATGGAGGCTTGATAATGATCACTAAACCATGTTTGTTTTTTTTGGCTTTGTTGGCTACTGGGTTTCTCTCCACCTGGAACGAGGTGTGTGGGTTTGAGATGAAGCCACAAAGCTAGAATAACCAGAAAAAAACAATGTGGGTGAGGGAAAAGCCAAAGATTTTTTTCTGGGGAAGGTAAAATAGACGCTGTGTTGTTGCAGAGAGGAGGAATGTAGTATAGTGGTGTGGGAAGATGAGCCTTGGTTTGGTTTAAGTAAAGGGGGGGAAGCTATCATTAATGAGTTGAAGAATTGCAACGACTACTTGCAATTGGGGGAATATTTATCTTTTTCTCACTCGCTCGTTATTGTTCTTTGCAAAAGTGATGTTGATTAATATAATAAATCTATGATAGTACTAATTAAAATTACTACAGAGAATCTAGTAAAAGGAGTAGGGACCATTTTCGTGTTTAGCTTTGGATAGTGAGCATGATTGTATTTTTCTCCTCGTTGTTGATGAATGTGTTGAATACTGAACAGTGTGGGAAGCATTTGGTTTGGTGAGGACTGAGGACTGAGGAGAGTGAGTTTCCATGAAGCATAGAAAAAGTGGATGATAGTGAGTCTGAAAAAGGTAGCACCGTACGTATATGTGCCAGAAAGAGAAGATAGCCGTTTGAGTCTTAAAAAGAGGATCCTGTCTACGTACAACGTTTAGTGCATAGTTTTCGAGGGGGAAAAAGGGTTTTGCTAATATCTGTTAAAAATCTATAAATAAAAAAAATGAGTTTAATAGTAGTATTAAAAATTATAATAAGAATGAATTAATAATATTGTGTGATTAATGGTGTGAAAAAAAAAATATTGTGCAATTGAAAATTACTTTTAAATAATTATTGACACACTTAAACAGAAAAATAAGTAAAAAGTTGTGGATGCAAAAAAATAAGTAAAAAGCTATTGATGCGCATCAGACAGAGAATGCTTTAGCCTTTATGGCGACGACAGTCATACACCGACACAGCTATTCCGAAAGGGAGAGCTTGGAGCAAATGAGCAACAACTATATTAAATAAGGAAGTTACTTCACTATTCTATTTAAGGCTTAATTACCCTTTTTTAATTTCTATTATTTTATAAATTTTATCTTTTTATTCTTATAGATAACAATATTTCATTTTAAATTTTATATATCATTTTTTTCTTTTTAATATGTCACGTCTATTTTTATATATCTTAAGCAGCTTCTAAAGTATAATTGATATAATAAACTATAAATTCACCAATTAGTCAAACAATTCTTTATATGATGAACATTGGAAAATTATATAATTAAGAGTTTTCTTCTCTTTATAGAAAGATTGATCTACTTATCAAGATCATTATTTTTTTTTTTTGATAAGCAAAAGAATTAGATTAAAAGGAGTACAAGGGGTACTCCAACCCATTACAGAAGATTTCAAAACCTAATAAAAAATTACGAAATACACAAACGTGGGCTAAAATACCAATTAGAGTAACTAAAAGAACAACCAGGGACAGAACTTTTAATCCACTTCCATGACCGCATTTTAATATTGTCCAACACTTCCTTGCAATCCATTACACCTTGCTGGAAAATTATACCATTCCGATGAAGCCATAGTGACCAAATTACAGACACCCAGACCACTTTAAAACACTGCTTGGATTTTTTATAAATACCAAGATTCGTCCAATATAGATAGAGAGAAGTTAGGGAATTTGGAAGGACCACCTCTACCTCCAACCAATTGGCTACAGATAACCAAATATTAAAAGCCATTGGGCACAATAGAAAGAGATGAATAGGGTCTTCTATAAATAAAGAGCAAAGAGAGCAAAGGTTATTTTCCACCTCCACACCACGAACTTGTAACAATGATTTGCAAGGGAATGCATTCATGAATACCTGCCAACAGAACACCAAGCACTTGATCGGAGCCTTGCATTTCCAAAGACTTTTTGTGACTAGAATAAAATCTGAAGAATATGAAAGTTCTCCACCCATCGAGTGTTGCAGCCAAGAGTACGCACTTTTCACTGAAAATACACCATCTTTATCACAAATCCATCTCCATTGATCTTGTTTAGAAGAGAAAATTTGAATTTCCTGGAGCATTTCTATTAATGTATTCACACTTCCTTCTTCATGGACAAAAGGTTCTCTTCTCCATTTAACCTGCCACAGCCATGTAGATCCCTCCCAATTATCATTATTGAGCCAATTATTAATTTATTGGGAGTTTAACATGGTGAAAAACTCAAACCATTAAGTCAAATAGAATCAACAATAAATTTTACAATAGTAAAGCTGGTAAACAATTCAAAGAAGTGAAAAAGAATTATCACGCTATCTTTAAAAGAGATTTTGATTTTTAAAATTAAAATTAAAGAAGTTTGATTTTCATTTAAAAAAATACCAATTTGAGGTTCAAATGAATAATCATCTAAAGAACTAAAAAAAAGTTTATGTAGTTATAAAAATTATTTGTATTATTTAAAAAATTAAAATAAAATATTTATGCAACTATAGAAACTTAAGAACTTAAAAAAATTATGTAACTAAAAGAAAAATTTATGTATAACTTTAATCGTTCAAAAAACCTTAAGTAAATTAAACCTTTAAAATTTTAATTATTACTATTTTGTATTTTCATCACTTTTTATTTAAATATTAAATTTTACCGTCAACCAAAGTTGCTAATGTCAAGAAAATGTTGATCTTAGGCCACATTTTCAAGAATAAAACAACGTAAGATCTTTAACATCGTGAGTACCCTAATACCATAAAAAAAATAATAAGCCAAAAACACCAGTCTTCACAATTTGTGTCAAGAAAGGCAAAACTCTCCTTTCGTTATCTATTTCTTGGATCTCTCGACAAAAAATATTTCAAGGATGCCTCCAACACCAATTACACCAATACATGCTTCTAGAACGTTAGATAGAAAGAGGGAAAAGAAAACAAGATAAGAAAAAGATGGGTGCTAATAGTTTAGATAAAGGAGAGAAAGGGAGATGAAAAAGGCTCACCAATATATAAGAGGATGAAGGAAAATGAGTAATTGAAAAGTTACGAAGACTTAAAAGAGATGTGTAAGCATTGAACTTTAAAAAATTAAAGTATAAAATTAGAGAGTTTTGCGACATAGATTTCATACACATTTTTTAAATAAGACATGGTAGTTCATGAAAAATGATTTTTGTTGACACTCCTTATAGTGATAGGAGTTGTTGCATTATTTTAATTTTATTTTATAAAATGTATGGGTATTCAATGTATGAAATCTTGTTACATCATTTTAATCCTTATTTTGTCAATGTTGTATGAATATTTTTGTTTTACTTTTTACTCTGTCGTTAGTTTCCATGTAATTCTAGTAACTTTTGTAACGACCTGTCGTGACCGTCACACTACGAAACAACACAACACACTACTGGAAAATATATATTAGAATAGTATAATAAAATATTTACAATACAAGTTGCTAATCAAGCAACCAACAACAACCAGTTATATACAACAAAATATGCTACTATAAAGTAGCCTACAAAAAAAATATCGATTTTCAAGCACCTCCTGTGGCCTCTTGTAACGACCCGCCATGGTCTCTATACTTAGTAGAATCGCACTACTACTAGTGAACTATGAGAAATATTAAGTTGGATAACTCATACATACAGGTATAGATAAGAATAAAATAACTAAATTTCTTAAATACAAAATAAAACGCCATATATGTACAATCATCCCATAAGTAATATTCCCTAGTGCCGGTCAAGCACAAACAAAACCGTTACCTAAAATGGTAACTCTAACGCGAGGATCAAAACTCCCTGTCTCGCAGCGGACACCTCAACTCCAAGCTAGTCCTGACCTGCTTCCATACCAAGTATGATCACCGCAATTCCACCACATGGAAAACAGAAGGGTAAGCTAGAATTCACAAATCAGTCATACAAGTATAGAACAATAATCTATACTACACAATCATCCAACTATCATAGAGTCACACCATACACTCTATCCAATACTACTCATACATAAAGTACAATCCACCAATCATGAAGTCAAACACCACACTTCATCATATTAATAATCATGCAATAAATGCATCTCATGACAGATATCAATGCATATCAATCATCTAATGCGTCGTCACGCATACACCTAGGAGATCTCCGTAACAATAGAGCTGTATAAGTGACATTACATCCTACCGAAACCACCCCAACCATTTTCACGCCCAATGCGCCTGCTCGGTCACAGCTAAATAGGATATATAATCCTCACTCGGGTTTACTCGGATGATGTCACTTACACACTTGGAAGTCCAGATCCACCGTCAGGTATAACACAGCTGGGTACGGGCTTACCACGACCTTGGCATGCATTAACCAAGTCAATTGTGGAGTTTCCCACCGACTATCCGCAAGGATCCACGCACCTTCCCGAGTACTTGGTTAAGGGAATAACCCTCGACCTCATACCCCGCTCCAACACTAGCTAAGGACTTAGAGGAGACTCACCCAACCCAGTGGCCTATCTGAGCACCACTCTCCCAAATCCAGTGGCCTCCCAGAGCACCACTCTCATATATCAGTGGCCTATCCAAGCACCACTCTCAAGAGACTCTATGTGAGCTCTTCCAGTTCGAAAATATTTTTCCTCTCCTCAAGTCCTAGGCTAGACTCATGCCATAGGGCTCACATGCAATCATGCATCATACATCATAATGGTCTGCCCACCATCATGATCAACAATCATACACATGTCATAAGACATCACATGCAATAATGCATCATACATCATAAATGGTCTACCTACCATTATGATCAATACATACCATATGAACGTATCATATTCAAACATTCATATATATCATCACAAAGCATACATATGAATCACACCTCACCATACATCATATATCATACATACATGATCTAAAACTTCAACTTTAAACATGCATAAGCATCAATTTAAAATAATTATTTATAAACATATTTACGCTCGGCGTAGCCTGAGCTCGCCCAGCCTAATCCCAACCTGAGAGTCCTAAAACTCATCCACGCCCAGCGCGTTCAACTCACGCTCGGTGTCCTTAAAACAGAGACTCTTAAGAGTATCCACGCCTGACGCAACCAAATCACATCTGGCCCAACATCCAACCCGAGAGCCCTAAGCTCTTCCATGCCTGGCGCGCTCAACCTGCGCCTAGTCTAATCCCAGTTAGAGAGTTCAGAAACTCTCATCCAAACTAACAAATCCAGCCACATGCAAACAGAAAACACAATACATAGGCTCCACACGACTCGAAATAAACTCAAATCTCACATGCATCTAACCTATGCATCAAAATCATCAAAATCCTCCTTTTTCTCAAAACCCCAAAAGATGAGATTTTCTTCAATCCATCTATGGATTCTCAACATTTATGCTCCTATTGAGTTTCTAAACTCACATGCAACCTACGCAACAAACATTCTAGCTTCCCTTACCTGAAGGTTGGCTCAGAATAGCCAACAACTGTGACGAAATAGAATTCCCTTCCAAAGCTCAACCCGGAACTTC